TGAGAATCGTGAGAGATGGATTCCTATAAAGAAGGTACGTCTATGACAAGACCACCACTGCTTGATTCAGCGAATTATGGATATTGGAAGGTTCGTATTCAAGCTTTTAGTAGTAATCTTGATGAAGATTGTTGGAATTCAATTGAACTTGGTTGGGAGGCTCCTAAAGTTACGGATGATGAAGGAGTTGTAAGTCTCAAGCCTAGAGATAAGTGGACTGCTGCAGAGAAAAGGCTATCAAGTTGCAATTCTAAGGCTAAGACTGCGATTTACAATGCTATTGATTCAAGCCGCTTTAAGTTGATTTCTCAATGTGCATCAGCTCAAAAAGCATGGAAGACATTGGAGAATATGTTTGAGGGTACTACAAGCGTTAAGAGAACAAAACTGGATATGTTGGCTTCGCAATTTGAGAATCTAAGAATGGAAGAAGAAGAAACCGTGGCTGATTTCAGTGCAAAGTTATGTGACATATCTAATGAATCGTTTGCTCTTGGAAAGGTTTACAAGGACAAAAAGCTAGTGAAGAAGTTGAAGAGATCATTACCTGCAAAATTTGAGTCAAAGATTTCTGCAGTTGAAGAAACTCATAATCTAGATGAGATGGCTTTTGATGAGTTTGTTGGGGTTCTTCAAGTATTTGAGTTAAGCAAAACATATGAAGCTAAAGAAAAGATGAATAAGGTAGATGAAGTGAAGAAGGAAGTTGACATTGGAGTTGCTCTTAAGGGATCATCAACTGAAGATTCAATGGCTATGTTGTCAAGACAGTTTACTAAATATCTGAAGCAAAAGGGAAAAGAGAAGAAGGATAGAGTTGATGAAGAATTGAGAAGTTCATCAAAGAATGTGCAATGTTTTGAATGCGAAGGATATGTACATGTTCGTTCGGAATGCGCCAATCTACAAAAGCATAAGAAGAAGGCCATGAATGTTGTGACTAGTGATTCTGAAACTGATTCAGATGAGGAAGAAGAACTGAAGAATTTTGTGGCGTTTACTAATTTTCTGCCAGAAACTGCAACAGAGTCTACATCAGCGTCTGCAACAGAGTCTGCATCAGCGTCTGCAACAGGGTCTGCATCAGCGTCTGTGTCAGGGTCTGCATCAGCGTCTGTGTCAGGGTCTGCATCAGTGTCCGCAACAGGAGCTGTAATTGAAAGTGACAATGATCAAAGTGATGACGATGCTGCAAGTATCAGTGATGAAGAGTTTCATGAGAATTACAGAGCCTTATATGAGCATTGGCTTAAAATGGTTGAGGAGAATTCAGTGTTAACTAAGGAGAAACTCAAGTTAGAGGCTAAAGTCGTTGAAGCACAGAAATATGCAGCAGAAAAAGAAGAAGAAGCATCACAAGCTAAAAGTACAACTTGAAGAAACTCAAAAGAATTTGAGGATGCTTAATAATGGCACAAAGAAGTTGGATCATATTCTGAATATTGGCAAGACTCATAAGTCTGGTCTTGGATTTGAAGGAAAACTTTTAAAATCAGATCCGGTGTTTGTTTCTAGTGGAAAAATCACGTCTGGATCAGGAAGTGTGTCAGAAACTGCAACTGTGGCAGAGACTGCATCTGGTACAAGAACTACTACGAGAATTGGTATAGAAACTGCATCAGCTTTAAGGAAAAATCAAGAATTGAAGAATGCACCTCAACGAATTTTTTGACCTGTTTGTCATCATTGTGGTGTTGTTGGGCATATTAGGCCAAGGTGTTTCAGATTGTTGAGGGAGAGAAATCGAATGGAGAATGCTTTTGATGTGAGATTTCATGGTCCTACACGTTATCATTGTGGAGTTCAAGGGCATATTAAGAGGAATTGTTTCAGATTCATTCGAGAATCCAGTCATGAAGGCTTAAGGCGCAGGAAGATTTGGGTTAGGAAAGATGATTTCTATGGAGGTGGTGAACTAGGCTATCAACCTCGTATTGCAAAGCGGGGAGAATTTTCCAAGTAGTTTTGACCATGTTGTGACTCATTCAGGGGGAGAATGATGATGTGTTTCGTGTTGTTGTTTTGGAGTTAGAACTGTTGAGTTCACAAACATAGTCAAAAAGGGGGAGAATGAAGATGTAGCTGTAGTCTGATGAAGTTGTTGAATGAGTTAAGAAGTAACACAAGTTTTTGTCTGATGGAGTTGCTGAATGATTCAAGAAGTAAGTCAAGATGCGACTGTTTTTGTGTGAGTGTCGGTTTCTAGAAGGTTTGAGAAGATATGTTTGGAGCGTGTTTAGAGGATGAATCACAAAGGAAAAAGGACTTAAAGAGATTTGAAAGACTTGATGAAAGTGGAGTTTGATGAGAAAAAGGAAAAGTATAAAAGGAAATTTACTTTTTCTTATGAAAATTGGAAATCTTCTCCTATGGTGATTAGGAAATCGTTTTGGCTATATAAGGAGGAGTGGAGGACGTCTTGGAGAAGCAAGAGAGCTGAGGCATAAAGAAGAAATCTTTGAGAGCTTTCTGTGAGATTGTGTGCAACTTAGTTTTGCGGGTTTGTGTTTGTGTGATCAAGTGGTTTTGTTTTTGAAGTCTAGGCTCAAGAAGAGTTTAGCTCAGGGTTAGGTTATCCTGATTAAATCTAGACTCAAGGGGGAGTTTAGTTAAGGGTAGAGATTATCCTTAAGGTTTCATGTTATAGAAGGGAGCGGTAAATCAAGAGGGTTGTGCTTGTTTTACGGGTTTGCGAATTGGTTGTAATTTGCTTTCTTGTTCTAGTGAAATCAAAATCTGGACGTGGTCCCGGGGAGTAGGAAAAACCGAACCTCGTTAACAAATTTCTTGTGTCGTTTACTTTCTGCAATTTATCGTACCTCATCCGCACTTACAGTTGTCTCTGGTCTTTAATTCTCTCTACAGTAAATCTCTCATAATTTCACATTTAAACACAAAAAAGTTCAGAGCACGTTTATAAAGGCACGATTTTCTTTTGTGTAGTACTATCCCATTTTAAGAATTTTCTACAGAAGTTCCATATGAGAACCATTTGATAAGCATAAGAAGACGACGATTGATTTTTTTTTGTTTCTTTAATCACTCAGTAGGTACTAATTGAGCATTTTTGTATGCATATTTTCTAGCTAACACTGACGTCAGAGTCTAACGTTAATCTCAAGCTCAAAGAAGCTCACAAACATAGAGGATGTAATAAAATATGTAGTTTAAAAGAAATTGAATCATTGAACTTGATTATCAAAAAAAAAAATCTTTGAACTTGGCTTTCAAATTTTTATTATTATTACACTAACTTTATTACTGGAACTGATCTAATTTCTTCATCTCAGTTTCGATGATATAATATTTTTGTCAACCGCTTATTCTTTCCGTGAATGAATTAAAGGGGTTCAAAGCCTCTTTATGAAGTAGAATTTTTGACATTTTATGGTGGTGAAAATATGCATTTCCTTTTACAAAATTTTTGCAAATCAAATGATTAGGGTATGATTGGTTTAATTAGTTTGTCAATCCTATATATAAAAAGCTTAGCTCCTCATGGATTGATACCTCATCATTTGCAAGTAAATAAACTATTAATGCATATAAAAACCATTTAATTTCTTTAAAACAAAATTAATTTGAACTTAACTATGTTTAAAAACATTAATCTGGCGGATTTAATTTAAGGAAAAATTGGAAATAAAGGACAAATAATTAAACTATTGTCTATCTATACATTCTATATTCATGATTGGTCATATATACTTTAATATTGGTCATATATGATTTCATATAATTAAAATCCCAATATGCCCCCAGTCTTTTAAATTATTACTAAACTATTAAAAAAATTCAAAATTAAATTGATTTCTTTCTAAAAACAATTTGGAAAAAATATAGGACAAAATCAACATTTATTTACATTCTATTATTTGTTTTGCCGTAGATGATTTCATATCTTCTTCTTCTTTGATTCTCTTGCTCATCAAAGTTAAGCTTTCGTAATTGTTCTCTCCTCTCTAATAACCCCATATTAAATAATTTTTTTTTTCTTCTTCTTCTTCAATCTCTCTCTCTCTCTATCTCTCTCCCTTGATTTCAATTTCTTTATGGAGCGCAACTATAATTTTCCGGGTTTTGAAACAAGAAATTAAGCGTAATCTATAGGAAAAATTGTTAAGTATAAAGAAAAATTCTAATTTGTGTTATAATTTATTCACTTAGGTATAAAGAATTTTAAAGTATTCAAAATTCAACTAATTTTCCGGGTTTTGAGACAAGAAATTAAGCGTAATCTATAGGAAAAAGTGTGAAGTATAAAGAAAAATTCTAATTTGTGTTATAATCTATTCACTTAGGTATAAAGAATTTCAAAGTATTCAGAATTCAACTTTTGTAATTTGCAGATGTAATCAAATTCACTATATTCAATTTCCATATTTTAAGATTTTTTTTTAAATCTAAATTAGATAGAATGTACTTTCTAATTTTTATAGAATAAAAAAAATCTTAAGAATATGTTTTCTAACATTCTTAGAACATGAGTAAATGTTAGAAAACATATTCTAATTTTTGTAGAACAAAGAACAAAGTATAGAATATGTATTCTAAAAGTCTTAGAAACTAGTATTCTAAATACCGTAGAACAGAAATGACTTCTAAACTTTGTAGAACATGTAGAGTGTGTAGAATACATAATCCAAATTTTGTAGAACATGTAGAGTGTATAGAATATACATTCTAATTTCAGAAGACATATTCTAAACTTTATAGATCAAATTATATCCATCTAAAACGAAAACAAAACAATATATTTTTGACATTTTATATATCTTCATATCTTCTTTATCATTTTAGTACATATTTTTCTTAATTATTTTTGAAACAATTGGTTCAATCTTATGCAAGGGGTAGTTTAGGAATAGTTGATATTTGTTCATAGAATTCATATATGGACAAATACTTAAATATTTATCCTTTATTTTCAATTTTCCCCTCAAATAATTTTGAATGTTTTTTTTTTGGAGATTTGAGACGAGGGGTTTTGGAGATGTTTTATGATTTGGTAAGATTCATTATGAAATACCAAAGGGTTTTGTGTGACAATAAAAACTTCTTCAAGTCTTCAACTTTTATATATCCATAGTTGCTCTCATAGTTAAGAAAAACTTCTGAATCCCAAAGGAGGAACATAAGCGGGATGTCTTGCGGTAACATTAAGAGGATGTTGGGCATTGACAACATTAGCGGGCTGCAGAAGATTTAGGTTATCTCCCACGCCTGGAGGATTAGCTTCCGGAGGAGCTTGTTGATTACGATCTCGGCCATCTTGCGGGTCGAGTCTTTCTTCTTGCGGTTCATAGATGGGGTTGCCATCTTCATCGTGTAAGGGCTTTCCGTCCTCGTCTAGGGCTGGAACTTGTTGGTGTTGCGGACCAAGATCTCCGTCTCGCGGGTTTCGTTGGTCGGCCATGAGTTGCTGTCTTTGAAGTCTCCAGATTTCACGTTCTAGTCTTCCTATATCTTGGTATGGCGGTACACCTGAGTTTTGACTCCTTGTCATGCACTGCAGATACCAAAAACAGAAACTAAAAGGAAAACGCGGTTATCGAAGAAAAATAAGAATGAGAATTTAAACGTTAAACTCAAAGTATCTTAGAGGAAATCTCTTATCGAATTCAATGGTAGCTTGAATCACTCCCCGACAACGTCGCCAAAAAGCTTGATGCGTGTGAATTTGTGCTCCAAAACTTTTACCTTAAAGACCACACGTTAAACTGCAAGTGCACAGTAATCAGAGTAATATTTAAGGATCGATCCAACAGAGAGTGTAGCTATGGGTTATTGAATTCAAACAAGAAGATTTAGCTAAGACAAAACTAAACTTTGGGGGTTTGGTTTTGGGTTTCCTAATTACTAATGCAATGGAATAAGAAAGAAAATAAATGAAAGCTAAGTGAACTAATGAAAGCTAAGATGATTAACGGTTTTAAACTAATATGACTAAGGCGTTGGGCGTTCTAGGGTTTCTCCGGGGATCATGATTCTCGACTAACTAGGGTTTAGATCTCTAGGGTTTTTTATGTTTTCGTTCTAGTTCATAACTACGAAAGGCGAATGAACGAGTTATCCTATGTTATAGAATAAGCCGGCAAATCTCCCTATACTCCGTTACTCAACTGACGCAGGCAACGACGCATAGTTCGACGCATTAGGGTTGGATTCGCTAAGTACTCTAAGTGCTGTTACTCAACTTATGCAGGCAACAACACGAAGGATTGGTAACACTATGTTCGAGATTAGGTTTACCCGATTAGAGCTCCTAACCTCTTGGATCAGCGTTTCGTGATCATTCCAAACACATGCATTAAGTAAAAGATGTCCCAAAAGAATCTAAGTATGAACGAAATAATAGATCTATAAACCTAATATGATTTGAACCATGAAACCCCTTTGAATCACCCCATAAAACCAAACAAAGAAAACTACTCGCTCATGATGCTAAGAAACGACATGGAGATGAAGTAGAAAAGCATAAATAAACGAATATGAATAAACAAAGGGGGTTCAAAGGAAACTTTTCTAGTGTCACAGAAGATAACTTGTCTCCCCAAAAGTCTTGAAAGAAAGAGAAGAAGAAAGAGTAGAAGAGAAAACAATGAAGAACAAAGAGGAGAGCTTCAAAGGACGACTTCTTCGGGATACAGGAGCTTCGACGAGGTGGATCTTGAAGAGCTGAGAGTCTCGTCGATGGACGCTGCGAGATCTAGGGTAGGAGGCGGTGAGAAAGCTGTGTAAAGCGGCTGTAGGGTTTCTTCAACTTATCTCGGTATTTATAGGCTTCGATTAGGTCAAGGGGCAAAATCCTCATTTCCCACGAATTAGGTTAAATGAGGCTCGAGTTTCTTGGACAGGGCACGACGTGTGATGACCGGGGTGGAGTGTGAAGAGTAGCTCGGGCACGGGCACTCATGACCGGGGGCGTCAGAAGGCGCCGGACCGGTCACAAGCCTGTCTGGCCGGCAATGGCGGATCCAGAAATAATTTTTACCGGGGTCAAAAAAATTAATAAAACTATATCATATCATTTATGCATAATAATAAAAATTATTTCCCAAAAAATAAAGCATTTTTGATATAATAAGATGAAAAACGAGGTAAAATATATAGAAGAGATGTTCAAAAGTTGTCAAAAAAAAAATATATAGCCAAATGTGTAAAAATGGGAGATTAAACCCGGAGAAAGGGGTGTCAATGGGCAAGAATTTGCCGACTTAGCTGTTGATTATCTAAGATTATGCTACAAAAGTTTAAATATACTCCCTCTGTTCCTGAAAATTTGATGTTTTAGAGTTTACACATATATTAAGAAACAATCATGATTTAATCATTTAATAATTTTTTCTTTTTATTAAATATTTTTAATAATATATGAACTAATAGTAATCTAAAACAGTTAATTATTTGTAATCATTACGCCTTGAAATCTACGATTTGTTAATATCAATTAATAAAAAATAAAATAAAAAGCCAGAAAATCAATCTTTGTGGAACAAACCTAAAACACTAAAACATCAAACTTTCAGGAACGGAGGGAGTATTTTTTTAACCTGTGTCAAGTGACACACCTATTTTCTCAATGGGTCCGCCACTGCTGGCCGGTCCGGGATATGTCTTCACTCTACAGGGTATAACTTCCGATTGGCTCGTGGAAAAGCTCTGATTCCAACTCGAGGTGAAACTAGACTCTTCTATCTTTCCATATCCACCGAGATCTCTTGATTGGGAAATCTAAAAGACCTCGAACGGATGCCATACGTCTGAGGTACAGAAACTGTCTTGAAACGGGATTTGATCGTCTTTTACTCCTTTTTGCTTGAAAACACATTATTCATTCTTGAAGCATAAATACTTGAAAACATCCTTGAAATCTATAATATATCCTGTTTTCTCCATGGAAAATCTAAATAAAACATAGTAAAAGTGGGCTAAAATACGATGTTATCACCTTTCGAAAACAAAATCTTCAACAAGTTTTAAATTTTTGAATAACACCAACTTTTCTATGATTTTGACAAATTATTGATTGGATAACAAGAGATTCCAAATGCTTTTTAGTAAACTATATATTCAATAATATGAGGTTTGAAAGGAGATGTTACAATCATCAGTTGAATTACATGAAATTTTATAAGAAAATCAAAAACTCTATCAAAATTCATAATCCAATAGATAGAAACAATAGAAAAATTTCAATATTAAATAATAATTTTGTCATTTCATTTTATTTTAGGCGATTTGACCGGCATCTTCAGATTAACAACGATACATTAATCTCTATGAAAACAAAATGAAAACAATAGGTTTAGAAATTCAAAGCTAATGGGTTTAAATGGCCCATAGTACAATGGCGATAACACCATAATTCAAAGCTAATGGGTTCTTTGATTAGAAATAAATTAGTAACACCATATTCACAGAGTTCCTAATTATTTTCAAGATCTCAAACACACAATTTATGCTTTCAAAAACTTCTAAGATCTTAATGTCTATTTAGACATCACACCATGTTTAAAATATCAAAATATGTAATTTCAGTCAAAACAATATTACCAAAATTTAACTTTGCAAACGATTTGAAAATAAATGTGTTTGACAATAGAAATAGTAAAATCAAATTTTAAAAAAAAAAATTGAGAAAAATTGTGGGTTTGCCACGTGAACACTAAAAAATCTCTTTTAATATATAGAAGATTTTAGTGATGACAAAATTCAAATATGAGTTATTTTCATACATTAAACCAAAAGCTCAATTAAATGAAATGACAAACGTGCCAATTAGTCATAACCATAAAGTAAAAGCTACCTAAACCACCAATGTCGAAAAAAGAGAACAAAAAGATAACTAATCAGGACTCAGAAGGACAATCGTTCCTACTGTTCCTTTTTCTCTCTCTCTTTCAAAGGTTTCTCTCTCTTTTTTTTTCATCTGAGATCTGATTCTGCAAGGGCTTCATTGTGTGGTCTAGGTCGTGCAAGGAGGATTCAGAGGTGAGGAAGAACAACTCTCCGACGACGGTGGTTTGGGTTTGCTTTCCTGACCGATGCAGTTGTAGATCCGGCTTGACGGTATGGGAGTTTCGCGGTGGAGTCTCTGGTTAAGGACGTCGGTGGACTCGCTGCTATGGACTCTCGGCTCACCCATCTAGTTGGCCTCTGCGGCTGCGGCGGAAGTCGTGACGGAGAGCGGTGGGTAAGTTGTTTTGTTTGGTGGTTAACGGCGGAACCCTAGGGTTCTCCGCTGGCTGTCGCGGATTCCGGTATTTGGAGGTTGATTGAGCCGTCTTCCTCTCCTTTCCGCCGTGTTGATGCTTCCATCGAACCGGATCGAGTTGCTCTTGCTCGGAGGACATGAAGGTGGCCAGATATGGATGGAGAGGGGTTAGATCTGAGTTTGGCGGGTTGCTAGGTTAAGGATCTGTCAACGGCGGCGCAGAGTGTCGGGGAGCGGAGCATGACGGGAGATCTGTAGTGAAGTTGGTGGATTGTCGGAGATGAGTCATCGGCGGAACTCGGATACTTTCGTCGTTGAATCAGATCTGGGGATCCTGCCGCAAAGCCGTCGATCTCGTATCCGCCGTCGCTAGTGCTCGAGCTCTCTGCCTCCGGCGGACACCAGGATCAGAACCACTCCTCCGGTGACGGCTTGTTTTTCTTCGTTGTTTTCCGTTTTTGTGGCTGAATCGGAATTGTATTTGGCCTCGGCCCATTTGGGTTTTTAGGCCCAGTTACGTTAATTAATATATTTTATTTAAAAAAAAAAAAAAAAAAAAAAAAGATAACTAATCAGGGTTCGAAGATGGGTTGATCCATGCACTGAATAATATTTAATCATTAACCACTACACCAAAGGACGAGACATGGATACTCATGAATTTAGTTTGCTAAATATCTTATAGTTTCGAAACCACCAGCGGAGACGGAGAGTCCACTTTTATTTCTTCCGCTCCGTTTGTCTGTCCTCTTCTTCTTCTCCACCTTCAAAATCTATCTTCTCCGATATCTATATCTATATCTCTTCTTACATACCGACGCTGCAAATATCCTTAAGCTTTTTTCTCCTTAAAGAGCTTGGATGAGCACTGTCGGTGAAGTTAGTTGTTCTCATGCCTCCTCCGGTTCCCTTTTCTCCATACAGCATAAACTGACGTTTGAAACAAGTACCTAAAAAAATAAAAAAACTCGAGCTATACGCCGGAAAACTGTTCTTGGAATAGCCGAAAGGATGTTATCGAAGTCACGTGTCTACCTTTGTTCCAGTGCATATTTTGAACTAAAAATGTATCTTAAATCTTACAAAATCTTTTCGACAACAAATTCTTCAACAAGTTTTAAATTTTTGAATAACAGCAACTTTTGTATGATTTTGACAAATTATTGATTGGATAATAAGAGATTCTAAATGCTTTTTTGTAAACTATATATTCAATAATATGAGGTTTGAAAGGAGATGTTACAATCATCAGTTGAATTACATGTAATTTAATAAGAAAATCAAGAACTCCTTCAAAATTCATTATCCAATAGATAGAAAC